TAGAGTTTGTATACTCTTGGAAGTCAAGCTTCCTCTGTGTAAGGTGCCGTGTGACCCGTCACAAGCATAGCCACGACGATGGCTCATAGCCATGGTTTGAACAACAGCATCACCAGGTGGTCGAACGTCACTGGTGCGCTTAACCATTATCTTAGCAAAATTAGCCACTCCCAGGATATCTAAGTCGGGGCGCTGACCGCGGTAAGAAGGATAATGATTTAATTCATGTATGGTCAAGGGCACTGATTAAAGCGAAGGCGACCATTATGATTTGCGGTACATCATCTCAGTGGAACGCCGATTGTACCGAAATAGTATCTACATGGCACTTACCATTAGCATGCACAATTTGTCAATTACTGTTAACCTTTCCAAGTAGAGAGATCTAGTCTACCTCACCAAAATCACTTGATGCTTTGCAAGATGAAGAACCCGTTGACGAATATTACACCATTATAGCTTTTCAGCATCGATTGCCATGTGGTGCAATATTTTGTTTCCAAAATTAAGTCAGTCTTATGACTAACCGCCCGATCCAGATGCAACACGCATGATAATACGTCGTGATACTCTTTTAGCAACAGATTAACCAAATTTGCAATCCTTCGCTGTTGATTTCAAAACCGAGCTCAACCGTAACATATGACGAGCTTAGTCTTCCTCCAGCACCAGCTGTACCATTTTTGAGAATTTATTGTCTAGCAATTCTTGACATATGCAATGCCTTTAATGCACAATATGAAAATATTTACTAATACACCTTTAGTTCAAAAGGCACGAGAACGTGTATTAGAGTTATCGGCAACATAGCCTCTCTAGGTCTATAAACGCTTCTATCGGAATTCGTGAGGGAAGACTTGAAACCCGTTGGGCCACATCACTCGCTTTTCCACCGAGAGTGAAATATAAAAGTCGCCATTTTGAGCTTTACTGCTCTGCATGGTGGCCCGGGGCATGGTAGTGCTGAGTCAATCATACCATTGCATCGTGGCCTATCGAGAAGTGAATCTAATGTCTGGTAAAGTTACCTTTATGAATCTCGAAAAAGTCAATGCGCGGCCTCAAGTTTTGTACTCTCGTCGATCCGTGATTCAAGGCTTGAGCCATACCGAATTCGAGCCCAAGACGGGACTGCGTTAAACAAAAAGTGCTCAAACTTTCCTTGAAAATCTCGGATACGGTCACTAATGTTCTTATCAAAGATGCACAGATACTATATACGTATTTGGCGGCCTCGATGACTTCGCATACTTCTTGCAGTTTTTGACAGTTAGTCGTGGTTGCAAAATGTTCTCATAGAATTCAGAAATACCCAAGTCTCCGCAAAGTTTGTATGTTGATGTTTGTGGCTTACAGCCGGAGCTGTTAGCCCACCTCGCCTTGAAGAAGTTCTTTATCCAGGGTTTGGTCCCATTGGCCTCAACCTCCACGGGGTACAATGTCATTTCTGGGACTCCGTGTTACCCTGCGAGCGATTCGTCGGACAGCCCTACCCGGGATATCGATCCTACTACCTCTTTAACAGGAAAGAAAGGGGTATGTGGAGCCAGCGGCATCACAGTAGGATCCGGTTGCACTCTCACCGACGACTGGTTAAAGCCTTCCTGGAGGTGTCTGGTGATCGCGTTCTTGTAGCTAGTGGACGCCGCTAGGCGTTCTAATATTATTTCCGGTCCTTGGGCTATAAGACCATATGAATCGATAAGATCATAAAGTATCTCTGGTTGACTCGAGGACAGACGGTAGGAAACTCGTGTTATATCTTTGCAGAGGGTATAGATAACCTTTGACCCAAATCGTCCGGAAATTCATTGCACAGAGATTGTATTTGAATGCCCACTTATAAGCAAAACTGCAAGAGTTTCGTCTGCTAGTTATGAGTGACATGTATCAACAATAAATTTCTTGAATCGAATACTATATATTTTTCTCGGGATGTAATAATAAATTATCTGTATTTCTTAGACAGCCCATGTGTATATACCTGAACTTTTCACCGCTACGTTTTGCGATATAACACAAAGGTGGAATGTGAAATTTGTACAATAGTACACTATCACCATTGAACGAGAAGGTCTCACAATAATGAAGTACAATACAAGGGGCACATTGTGGGGCGGGTCAACATGGAGCAGGAGACACAACAGAACACACGCAGATGGGGGCATGAAACCATAAAGCTTTTTTAAGAGATCGTTGATATTCCGATTCAAGTCTGCAGTAGCGACAAAGAAGATGCCGCAGGATCCAACCCACGACAACGATGCGATGTCTGCGATTTTTCTACTGGTAAAAATCTCGACAGTTTCCCGACACGATGATAACTCTGCTGTCGGAAGTTTATTATTAATACTGACAGATAATGACAACCCGGCCAGGCAAAAATGGAGAATAAGCAATTTTGCCGACACCATTGATCTCCGATGTGGTATCTTCGGGAAACAGTCTGACCAGAGGCCTCAATAATGACCAAAGACAATATTATAAGCAGGAAAGTGATTTCTAGTCGTGCGCTGAATCGAATGTAAATTGCGAGAGGATTGCTACAGTTAAACCAAAAGGAACAATTTTCCTTAATATCTCAGACGCGGTACAAACGACGGTATACTAACTAATGAAGTAATTGGAGAGTTATCTAAGGAGCCAAGCGTTTGCAATCCGATAAAAGAAATACGCTCTCGAGCCTCCCGATTCTGATGTCAAATGTCCGGAAGATATAATTTCTAAGCGTGCTGATATTTACAGCAAACTGCTTTCCAGAGCACGATATGTGTTAAAGTGGTTATGCTGGTGCTAAAAGTAATTTCTTAACAAAAGTGGAATTGAATCCACAACTTTTGCCGCTCTTTTACTTAAGGTAATTTTGAAGAGAGACAACATGGATTCGATCCTTTCAAAAATTATGTGCCGATGATAACTAGACTTCGTGACATACGTGGTGGTGGTTTGTAAAGTATTTTTGAATGTGAAAACGATTCGTTGGGATTGTACTCACATTCTATGTTTTACTGATCTTTGATTCGGAGCGCAGAGTGAAAAGGCGTAAGAGATGTATCAAGCATGACCGGCGCTTCAATAGGATGAGTTTCAGTGCTGCAGATTGTTTTCTAATATGTTTCGATGAAGATATTACACATACATCAGCTTAAGTCGCGACATCAGCCACCAGGTGCATACATGAAAGAAAAATCCAAAATATGACACGATAGAAGATGATGCAGCAGCACAATTCGACTCAATTGGTGGTCTTTTGAGGATGCAAAAGACCAGATTCTAAAATTCTTAGCTTGCATTTCTGTCTGATTAAGCGAATACTCCGAACAAATGCAGTTACTGTACACTGAAATTGCTTATCATCTTATAAGATAGGAACGATGCAAAGCTTATTTGTCTTAATAAGCTTTTGTCTCAAATTTGTTACAAGTTAGACATTCGACCAATATATATAGAGATCGATGCTATGCCAAGACATTAGATCTTAGCTATCCGCGAAGATACCGACTGGTTCATGTGTAAACTACGATGCGTTACCAGCCTAGAAAAAGTTTCCATCTACAGATATTATAGCAACTTACGAGGAATAAATTCAATATTACAGTCTTATCAGTTTTTAAATCAAATTGTTATAATTTCCATGCGTCGCTACTTCAGTCGCTTCACCAGCCGCTCACGCGTTGTCGCTGGCGATCAGACACCGCAACGCTCAGTACCGAATTATATCTTACATCCTCACTATGCAGCGAGTGGTAACATGTCGAATGTCAAGCCATTTATTCCTATTCTAGATTATGACCAGCAACAGCAATTGCGTGCGACGTGTGCGTTGGCGAAAGACATACGGGAGTTTGCACGACCACTTTGCGAACCTGGAATAACAACTGAAGATATTGATCGCCTTGTGCATGAAGAGATTGTACGGCGTGGTGCTTATCCCTCTCCTCTCAATTACGGAGGATTCCCAAAGTCGCTATGTTCATCTGTAAATGATATTGTTGTGCACGGTATTCCAGACAGCAGATTGCTAGAGGATGGAGATATTGTAAATATTGACATTTCTGTCTACTTGAATGGATTTCATGGTGACACGTCGCAAACGTTTACAGTGGGGAATGTAGACGAAGCCGGAAAACATTTAATACACGTGACCAATCAAGCTTTGGTGGGATCCATAGATAAGTGTTGTAAACCGCTGAACCGCTTTGCTATGATTGGAAACTTTATACAAAACCTAGCAGAACAAGAAGGACTTGGTGTTGTACAAGAGTACACAGGTCACGGTATTGGTCAGGAATTTCACTGCTTACCTTATATTCTGCATCACCGAAATGACGAGCCAGCTAAGATGCTGCCTGGTATGGCCTTTACGGTCGAGCCGGCACTAACGGAAGGCGATCCACAGGTAAATTTGCATCGTAATTTGCTCAATTTAGCTTGTTTGCTTATCGTTTCTTGGCTAGATTGAGCACTGGGACGACGGATGGACCGTGGCAACCGTAGACGGTGGACGATCAGCGCAGGCTGAGCATACTTTGCTCATCACCGAGGATGGCGTCGAGATTTTGACGATGTAAGCAAACTTTTCTCTTTGAGTGTTTGATTAGCGTAAAGCAGTCGCGTAGAGAAATGGATGGTTGATTTCATAGCCAAATCTTCATCATTGGACGGGACAGCAATGGTCATATACGACAATCGAAAAAGCTCGGAACTCTTAGAAGTTATATATGGATGTGCTATCAAGAAATGAATGGGGAAAAAGCCAAGTAACGTGGTGATATAATTTGTGTGCTAACGCATGGCAAATGTTAGCTGCTCAGTACAAATTCAGTCAAGTCATGAAGAGAGAAAGTAGAATGTATTCAACAACTAGAGTCTTCCTCGTTAATATAGAACACCGATGGGTAAGTTGAGTTTATCATACCCACTTATTGTCTTTTGTGCTACTTTTAGTCCTGCCGATCTAGCAAAAACTCTCACAGCTCGATATCCGTGCATGATCACTCGTTGTAGCGTGCTGATATCATTCTTGTAGTCGTATCATCATCTGTTGTTGTCGGACTATATTGACACTTACACACGAGTCATCAGTCCTCTGATGAACACCTTTGCATATAATTAATTTCGTAATGTGAAGCATTTGCAGCTTTAGCACCACCGACAAATTCGTCACTGATCTATCAAGGGCAAGGCAAGTGTTACAATCGTTAAGATCAAAGTCTTGCTTCACCGATAATAAAAAATTTGAAGCTTTTACAATGTAAAAGTGACTTTCCTAACGCAACATGCACAAGTTTGGAAGCAATCACCACACGATTCATGCTGAACTTCTGTCTTTGTTTTTGTAGCTTTGATATTTCGTTATAAAAACGTTAACATGTCCGCTCGATGACGACACATAATGCTCGTTCTTAAGAATGTTACATACGGCATTACAACTGCTAAAAAAAGCTTGAATTTCGCATGTAAGTCATGAGGATGAGTATGAAAATGAAGCATCTTAAGTTTCCTATTCCATCATAATTCAATTTCTATAATGGATCTCCAATATATCGTAAAGATGGCACGTTTCCTGCGGTATAAGTTTTGCAATTTGCTGAATTACATCACGGGTAAACGAACCATCTGACTAGACTCTATAGCTCAATGCGATTGAGAAATACCTGGTATGCCACATGAAATCTTATTGTACTCATTTTAAAATCTACCACCTTCACAACAACGATGAAAATCACCTTTTTGATCCAAGTTTTGCTTAGACTTGCACCTGTCACTGCTATTCTTGGTGGCCAAATCGTCCCGCAAGGCTCAAAGACGTATATGACTGGTATTCGTATCACTATCGACCCAACTTCAAGTGATGACTATAATTTCTGTGGTGGAGTATTAATCACGCCGACCCACGTGCTCACGACTGCGGCATGCGTTTCCATTTCCTTTGCTAAGCCAAACTTTGTTTCGGTTGGTGCACATTACATTAACGGTGGCGAAGATGGCGATGAGTTAAAAGTTGTTTCCGTGGTAAAGCATCCAAAATTTGATCCAACAACACTCAGAAATGACTTTGCTGTATTAAAGCTGGTAAAGCCTGCCAAATACAAACCAGTAAAGCTTCCGGCTTCTGATGGCAGTGACATTCGGTCTGGCATGTGGGCTTCTGCTATGGGATGGGGAGCTATCAATGCTTCAATCGATGCATTTGGTTCCGAAGAGCTTTTGCGCGTGAGTTTACAAGTAGTTACAAATGATGCTTGCCGTAAAGCACTTGATTCGACCGCGATCGATATGTCGCAAGTTTGCGCTGGTGGAGAAAAAAACAAGTCACCATGTAAAGGTGATAATGGTGGTCCGCTCATCAAAGAAAATTCGAATGGCGATAGCGACGATGTAGTTATCGGACTCATTAGCGGTGGTAACGGTTGCGGTATCAAGGGTTCCCCTGCTATCTTTTCGCGTGTGTCTTCAGTGCTGCCTTGGATTCAAGCTGTCACCAAGTAGTTTCTCAAATACGTTTTGTAAAAGAATATTCTGTTTCGATGTTGTCCTTGTTACTCTTTGTGTTTGTTGTAAACGACGACGTTTCTGAAAATTACAGAGAAACAAGAAAACGTCATCCTTGATGAAATGCTATGATGCCAGTGCTTGATGATCACAATATCCTCGAACCAAAACTTTACTTCAAGAAGAAGTTTAGCCACAATAGATTGAATATGGGGTACTCACTCGATAGGATCATATATTTTTTAAGCAGCACATTGCTCATACTACAGCGCTGTGTGTGTCAGGTGAAACGTAGACCTTATGCTACATGTAGTTAGCGTGACTAAAAAAGTGAAACAGGTAATCTATACCGAAAAATCTCTGATGACCTACGAGGTTGTCTACAAATCGCTTATAGCGCGAGAACTGTGTGTAGTGTAAGAGACGCTTTGGACATGAAAAGCAAGAAAAAATTAACGGTCATTTGTCTTTTCTTGTTGGTGTTATCACCGGTAGCTAACCATCGATATAATTAATTGCTACAACGATTGATTCGATCATTGACAATAAAACTACTTATGTATTTCTTACAACCTGATCACGATCAAGGACAGACGTTACAGTGAGTCGATATAGAGATGGAAACAAAGATTAATGAACTATTTCACAAACTTTAAGCTTGCATACGCAAAGATGCGAAGTCTAATTGCTTCCTCGAGACTTCGACTGCGCTAGTCTATGATCTCTCATCTCTTCTACTAAAACAAAGAGAATCCACCTGAGTTCTGTCGAAATGCGTGTGTACACAGACGGTATGTGCTTTTCTCCAGTACCAACAGGCTGACTAAGTACCCCAATTAATACTCTCCCCACTCCCGACTTGTTGTCTTTAATGATCAAAGGTCCACCTTGATCACCAAAAGCAACGCCCTTTCCTTCTTCACCACCAGCGCACAAGAATCTATAATCAATGAAAGAAAGCGAAGTCGCATTCTTGCAGTCTTTAGTTTTCCACAATTCAAGCTCGACGCTTCGCAGCACGTCCGAGTGCCCGAAACGATTCTGTTGATCAGTTGTACCCCACCCCATTGAAATCGTCAACATACCTGCTCCGACTGTCCGGTCAGAATCCCTGAGTTTCGGTAACTGAATCGGAGAGAATTTGCTCGGTCTTGTTAATCTTACGATTGCCAGATTGTGCTCAAGACGAGGATATTCAAATTTTGGATGGCTGTGGTAGGATGCAATTGCAATGTGCTCACCATCAATCATGTCGGTAAAGTGGTGAGTACCTACTACCACAAATAAGGGTTTTTGCCCAATGCATACAGCAGACGTAAGCACATGGTATGGGGTGATCAACGTGCCACCACAGATGGTGTCGCCATCGACTGTGAAGCGTAAGCTAACCATGTAAGTCTCTGTGCCTTGACGAACAATGTTTCCGCCATAAATTGCAGCGACCAACGCGATTGTAAGCGAACCCAAGACAGTGGTCGTGATGCCTTTCATCGTAGATGTTTGAAACTTGCAGATGTAATAATTTTTCTTTTTCATTATATAATCTTGTTAGAATCTAATACATCAGAATTAATTAAAATACAGTCCACACAAGATTTTTTGCAACGCAATCTATGTAGCAATGAGAAGGATGGGACTTTAAAAAGGAGATGTCCGGGGGACACGTGGGCTGTCAGTCTCACATTAGGCTAGTCATATCGCTTCACCATGAAGATTGTGCAACATGCATATATGTATAAGTTTAGTTTACTACAATCCAAAAATAATCTTGAAAAAAAGGATCAGGCCAAGCGCTGAGTTACTTAAGAGGTTATCTCTGTTCCGCTCCTGGTGGACAATTTGGACCTATAAGCACTAACAACGCGGACTCTCTTTTGAGCAAAGTGTACAGCAACTTCGTTGCTTGTAGTAGTACCTGGCATCAATATATAGATGAGTCGTGCTTGAAGGTATCTTCTGTAAGGACGAGACATGATTTTGTCGATAACCAGTTCCAGACATGCTTGATGAGCTTAGGCCTATCGGTGATCCCGAAGGGATCACGCGCCGGGGCTCACGGCTCTCAGACGATAAACAGACGTTTACTAGCCATAAATGCGCCGGTGAGATACCTTCAGAAATGCTTCAACCGCACGCTGGTGAAAGCTTGACGCCAGGACAACAGTACGTTCGTCACGTTTTCAGCAGCTGAGATATCAAGTCAAATGTGTTTTAGCTCTTCCAGACGTGCTTCAGCGTTTCTGAGTGAATCAGACGCGTCAGGTGGACGCCAGGGCAACATTTATCGCACTCAAGCTTCTCCTGTATGTCGAGACGGCGAGAAACCCTCCCTCTAGACAAGATTGTGTACTTAATTAGAAACTTGATCATGCTCTAGATGAAACAATCGTGCGTCTGCTTGCGATTTCCAAGCTCAAAGGTCGCGCACGAGGAGGGCCATTCATGTGTAGTATCTCTCTTTAAAGGCATTCCAGCTAGAAAAATAGAGGCGACATATCCCACAGGTACCCGCTTTGTTTCATTAAAGGTACTGGTTGAGGCTCAGGTTCTTACGTCACGGGAGGCTAATGGACAACACCTGCAGCTTTGTATCGCCCTTGTGGTGGCATGCCCTCTTCGAAAAGCGGCAACAGTGCCCATCTTCATGCAATTCCTTTGAGTGCAAATTGACCTTATTCCCTTCGCGTCCACACTACACTTTTGAGAAGGCGTCGAATGTCAAGTTAATGCGGAGTATAGCCTCTATGCTGCTCAAGTCGGTCATTGTACGAGAAATGGATAAATTTAAGAGCGTGTCAAAGGCGGCTGACGTCGTCTATGCCAAGGGCTAATCTCAATTTTGCCAAGCAGCTTTGTGATTGTACATCTGCGCCTTGTGTACCTTATTCTCTTTCGGTTAGGAGGTTACGAGGTGGCGGGCTCTAAAGTTAGGTCATCCGACAAATTCCTCGCGTGGATTTTCGAGCAGGTGCAAGGTGGTCTATGGGGGCTTACTCTACCTCGCTTTGAAAGAAGTCGCATCTCAAATCCAGGACAACGACAATACCAACTGCCACGCCGTCAAAATATCTAATTCTTCTGGAATGGTTTATCTTTGACACTTTCACTAATGTCTTGTCGCAAGATAATTCATATCGGGCATATCCAATGCCTCCGCGAACTTTCTACCGCTTCCAACATTTGCGTGTTATGTGTAATTGTATGACAGGCCTGAAACCTTGAGGTTTTCACGGCTTCTAATAACAATACTTTTAACCAACGACCCTAGGCTGTGACACCTCTCCTCAAGAAAATTGATCCATACATAGTTGGCTCCCGTGGATCGCCTGGTTTTCAACTAAGTGAGGCACCGCATACCTTGGTTCTGGTGACATATGAACAAACAAAATTTTACAAGGAAGCATAAGCACTGTTAGAGCTGTTGGTCTTGTTTATAAAATGATGCAGTATTTACATTTGCAGGCTTTACTGGTCTAATTAATGATGTGGATAATTCTTTCATCTCCGGTTTTTCTTAAATCTATCACGAAGTAACTTCAGTCTTAAGTTCGCCATATCTCGACTCGCTGTGATCAGCTTAAGTACACTTCGTAGTTAGACAAAAGACTTCAAACTTGGTGAGATTGAGCTTCATAAATCAAATACGCGATACAATGGCTCAGTGCCAAGACGTACAAAAGCAACATGCCGACGCCAGATTCAGGAAGGAGAACAGGCGTTGATAAGTACATGCTTCATAGGCGCAGTTGACCTGCCTTCGTAAGCAATGTTTGCAGATTGTATAATCATGTTGCGCTCGCCATCGTCGGACTTCACGGTCGTAGCAAAAGCGAATAAGTTACATCTTTAAGAAACAGTAAACATATATAGTGCTTTCTGAAGTCATATCACAATCTAAAATAATATCTGTTGTAGATGATATAGCTTCTCCATCATTCATAAGCTGTTCTACACTCTGTGTCGGGGGGTTGGCGCCGCTCTGGAACTTCCGGATTGCCGAAAGCCACACAGTTAATTGCACAGCTCAGAGAGCGCATCCGACATCTCACCCTTCTCAGTATCCGTTGCTCTCCGACAAAATAGGGAAGAGTCGATGAGTCGCCATAATTGAGAGATCCCAGGAGATCCGACACTAGAAATTCGTTCACCACCGACAAAGCACGATAAAAAAGTGGTCACCCACCCTACGTTAAGATTAGAGCGACGGCGAATGCACAAGGGTTGTTATAAATATTCGTTGGTGTAGCATCATTTATTACTCGAAGCTGCAAAGAACAATGTACGACGTCGACGTAGAAGCTTATCATCTTTAAGTAGCCCTACTATAACACCTTCTCGTTAGGCCGCAAACATAAAGCAACGGCTAATTCACACGGTAGTAAAGCGTGTATGCGCTGCGAGACTCTGTATTAGCTCCTAGAAGGTAAACACTGAGAATGCTCAGGATTGTAAGTGACAACATTAGTAGTATCAGAATTTTGGGGGTCTTTGAGTGAAATAACCTCTCACTTCACCAGATACTGCTTACAGCCCTGGTAAACTTGCCGACATAATTTTTTCGATATGAAGTGGAGCCCCTTGCTTATCGAGCAGAGCTGTCTGAGGACAAACCCACTCTTGTGGTTTGTTTTGAATGTGACGACACGTCGTCTCTCTTTGAGAGTATAGACAGGCTGCCAACAGTGACTGAGCCTCCTCATATGCAACCTCTGTGTACACAATCGCTCTGATTACTCGAAGTGGTTAGATCACTACTCGAAAGCGAGGTCGTGATACGACATTAAAAGCCTACGAAAGATACAGGAGGCGCAAGTATGCTCTAGAACATTTTGTGAATATATTTAATTTTCTCTACGACCACAACCTGCCGAGTGTGGCGATGTCGCATCAAGCAATGAATGCGCGTCGGAACCAGATGTGCAGAAGAGAAATGAAGATGCCAGAAGCTGGTGAACACACTTCGTGAGGCAATGTTTTTTTCAATCGAAGGATTTTAATCTGTTTACACACGCAGCTTTTTGTGATTCATATGACTGCCCATCTCATCAAGTTTGATTCTTTAGCTTGCTGCGAAGTGCCGTTGAGCTAATCAGTTAGCTGAATCGTATCAACAGCCCTCCGCTAAAGTGATCAAAGCTACTTCGCGGTGTGGTAAAGGACCCGAAGTTTGAATTAGCCGCTTAAGAAATGAAGTAGAGTGTGTAGCTGTGTGTACTGCCTTAATTGGCACAAGCTGGATGGTTGGAAGTAATTTGCTTCGACACTGCGTTCTCCTTAAGCAAAAGCCTTGAACGATTAGATTCACCATACGAATAACGCGTTCTGTATGTCTGGATGGTCAGCGGCTGACATACTAAGCACCCAAATTTAATTTTGTCAAAACTTTGTCCTTAAGAGCGGGTCATCATCACACACAATTACTACCAGCAAGCCTGCTACACACTTATTTTGGGATTAGGAATAGCGATTAATCTTGATAAAGATCCATTAATTTTTATTTTAGTGATCAAAGTTTTAACAATGATGCAACTGATCCGTCCACAGTACGTATCATCTTATCGATGCGACTTCACATTGTGGCATGTAACAGCTTGACTGGGTGACATGAGAGCGCAGCAGATCTCCCATTTGACGTCTTAGCTGGTATTTATCTCGAAGGTATACTCGATAAAAAATATTGCCATCGAGACATGACAGAATTAATGAAGTGCGCTGCAATGTATGATCGTGGGCAGGATAGTTGTTCTCTTACATTCCAGGCTCACCTGCTTAAAAGCAATGACGCGTTCATAGTCATTGACAATCGCTTGAAGTAAAAATATTCGTTTCTTTAGCAACTTCTAAAGTTTACAGACTACATAACGGCCGTCCCGGACTCGAATGAGTCACCTTGGAGTGCTCATAAAACTTCTATTACAGCCTCGAAAGCTGTTTCTTCTGCCACACTATATCCTTTTTAGTGTGTGAGGGGTCATGCCGTGTCAGCATAATTTGCTGATTTGTTGTGCAAGTTTTTGGCCAGGCGATGTCACCTCATTATACTTTTTGGGACAGCGGCACTGACTAGAATATGATGGTGGGTGTGTCCTAATAACGGAAAGAGCAGTCGAGAGCCAATCGGGGAAGCGCCATTCTTTGCCGGTTGTTTCGACGAGAAGGAAGCGTTCCACTTTTATAAAAAGGCAGTAAGCTTGCCAGGGACGTATTAAGTATCTGCTGAAGTTGATGGGAGGGCCTAAAGGCGAGGCATCATCACACCCAATACCACACCTCGGCAAGATTGGATCCGGTTCTGTCGGTGCTCACAACGTGGCACCTTGCAGTACTTATCTTTCAGGAAGGAAGGCAGCTCGCCCACCGCAATGCGCTTCACAGGACACGACAGCTGTAGCTCAAGACTTCGCCAATAGCTGTACTACTCGTTCTTTGGAGATGTATAGGTCTGTTGACAAAAATTACGCTTGAGCTGTTTGTTGCACAACTCTACGTCCAAATTGCGCTTCAAAAGACAAGTATAAACGACGATCTATTCTGACGTCTGCTTCACTGAAGCTGGCTTGAAAACCTGTAAGACCGGTGAGGTAACGTGCCTTGTTTACCTTTCGTACAAAATTGAGTATTATACTTTTCGACACTCTCGCCAGCTTTACCAACAAAAATGTGAAGGTACCGAATTTCCCCGGCCGTTATTGATCGTGGCAAAGACGATATTCGTGAGAAGGGGTGACGCGTAAGTTTGAAAAAATACTCCCCATCAATGTCCCGGTGACTTCTTCTACTCTCGTTCATGACCCCTGTGTACAAGCGGATATGGTTTTGCTAAAGTTCGGTAAAAAAAATTACGATACTAATGATCGTGAAGAGTTGGTGTGCCCGTTGTTGGTAAGCCCGATAAAACCTATGCGTTAGAAACAAGTTGGACGTTGCTTTTTAAGGTGGGGTTCTTCGCCTAAGAAAGCGGATATGAGGTATACAACCTGTGCAAAGGTAATGTGAAGAGTTGCGAAGGCATAGACTTAAATAAATCGGTCGGTGCTATGCCAACCTTAGCAATAACGACCAAAGATGTGTGGACAAATAATGTTTCTTTCACATCAGAGAGTCCCTGTGGCCTTCTCTCAGATGGGAAGCAAATTTGATGTATGGACTACAGTGAAGACAAAGGCGCTGGGTTCAGTCGTGAAGAGTCTCTTTAACTGTTCAAACAGAGCAAACCTGGTATAGTCTGAAGATCATCGGCCGCGAAGGCCGCGTCATTCTGTGAGACTCGTTGAGCCATGTGTACACTTAAGTTTGAGGACTCAGTATGAAAGCCGTGCTCGTAAGATAAGCATTGCTTGGGAAGTAGGAACAGTAAGTTGTTTCTTAGCTTTTAACAGTGCCAAATGTCTTAAAATGACATGGTCGTGGCCCAATGTTTGTGGAAATTTTGTGGGAGAGAACGTACATAATTAATTATTGTGGCGTACGTTTACACTACTGCGTTTTGGACTTGAGTCAACCTCAATAGTACCAAATTATGTGTTATGATGAAATTTTCAACAGGTTTGCCGTGCACTTTGAGTAAATGAAGCTCTCAGAGTACCCAACCAAACAGAGAACGGATTTGCGCTCTTCTACAAAGAGCGAAATTGAGAGCATAAAAAACATATAGTTTGTTTTGCTTGTGTACCTCCGACATTTATCTCTGAATTTTCGTGATATTATAAATACCAATATTGCCAGTTGTTACAAGTTTTCACAATGTTGCAAATGATAGAGTTGCTCCAATTGTGTAAGGGTTTAGTACCCATTCATGTTACAAATCATCATAGCAAGTATGGGTACGGAAAACTTAGGCCAGGACGTCTAGTCTAACGTAATTCACTTTTGTGATGAGAATGATTCCGACAATAAAATTATATTTCAATTACAGTGATAATGCCTTGCAAGTTAAAGTAGAAGGCAATACAACCACACAAAATATCGAAATGAAGTTGAAAGCAACGCTCAGCAAATGCAATCGGTTTTGACGCAGATTGCCGCTTGTTAATGTAGCAGAGAGCTTTTCCCACAAAGTAATCTTGGCTTATCGAGCCGAATGCTTAGCGAATTTAAAATGAATCTACGCACATAAAGGCTGAAAGTTTCTGGATATGCGATCAGATAGAGCTAGTTATAGTAATCCGCCGGTTACGGCAGTGTATGCAACAAAGCTGCAAACATCATAATTCACTGACGGAATGCTAATGGGATTGCTACTGCAGGTTTTGGGCCAAACGTCGAGCGATAATTTCACGGCAAGGGCATCTCTTCACCTGAATATTGGATATCTGTGCAATTCGTATACAAGAAAGAGGCTTGGATTGTTCAGCTTGCTCAGCACAAAACCTCATCGTGCCTTTTAATTTCACTACAATGCCAGATGTTTACATTCTTTTAGATGCTCATGTCAAATGCCTTATATTTAGTAATAGCCAATCAGTTTGTTGAATATTAAACTGAGTTTGTGGTTTTTAACATGCACGTACTTATCTGTCGCCTCCGTGCCCCTGTGCATGTCCGTAGGCCATCGCGCCTTCATCTCTGCCTTTCATCCTCTCTGCAGGTAAGTCTTTTAATTATAGTCGAAATGTCCTCGTCAGAACGTCGTGTAGTGTGTCTAAAAGCCTCGTTTTTGCCTCTTGTAGAGCTTCTCGTCGTCAGTTAAGTCAAAACCATCGGTTCTTGATGGACGTGATGGTGTCGTACAATTCGCTAATCGAGCGATGGAAAGAGTGAGTACCCATATGGAACGGTACCGTGAGCACAGAGTCTTCGCGCCGTCCAATTGGATGCTGCATAATTATTTGCTCTTTACCAAGCTTCAGTTGCCTACAAATACTGAAATTGATGCTGTTGAGTTTCTAAATGGGGCTCAATTTGCCTGTGATTTGGTTGTCAACACCATGTACTCTAGCGAATTTGTCAATTTTGCCACGGGAACCATTACTGAATCTCCTGCAGCTGAAAAATTGAAATTGGGATTATCGGAGAATTGCTACGATGCATTTCTTTTTGCCATAAAGCAGACAAACAACAAAGGCCACCGATTCAAACTTAACAAGCTGGATATTAATGGTATTTACCTCGATGATGTCAATTGGGTCAGAATATCATTAGCCCGATTAAAGCAGGAACAGGCACTTGAAGCATACAACCGAGCACACGTGGCTCAATTAGAGAAACAGGAAGAAAGTGGAAGTTTAAAAAGTCAAGACAAAGTGGTGGAAAAGCCAATAGTAGACATCAAATCTGAAGATCATGCGGTGATGATTGAGCGACTTCAATTGGATGTACAATTAGATGCAGTTGAACATTTGGAAGTCGTGACTCCTGAAGCTACAGACCAAACGATTGAAAAGAAATCGTCAGTGGTGTGGCGCTTTGAGTCACTCGTAACGCAGCCCGAGGATTTGGACTGGCGAATTGTCAGCGTAATTTAGTTGCATGTGAATTGACTCACCCAGTGTCGCCATTTGCAAACCAGCTTTCGGATAGAATCTTGTGATCATAGCGGCGAGTACTGCAGCGATTTTACTTTCAGCATATCTAAAAATGAAATATTTCTGTTTTAATAAGATTATTAATCATGAAAGCTATTTTTATTAGCTAAATTTAAGGTGACAATCATTATACGCCACATTGCCCTGAAATTTATGTCATTGGCTGAAATGACAATTTATTTCTTACATGTCAAAAATAGTTGCTAAGAGCTAATGACTAAGGGTGGGTGGGACATGTGGACAGTCAGCAAATTTGAGCTATACTTAAACCTCATTATATATATTTCATTCAAGATTTTGTGACTTGAGAGATTTTACGTTTCGTTTTTGGGTGAAGTGTACAAACGCATCATCTCTGTGACTTAAAATCGCAGTATGAGTGGTTGGATTCATGTGCGCGTCATAGGTGATAAACATCAGCCATGCTAAGGAAAATAAAATATACATTTAGCTGCTGAACGACACTGTAGTATGCACGGATATTTTGCGGCAGGAATATGCTACATTTACACATTACGTGCTCCATTCTCTCTCGGCTGATCTGAAGGTCAAGTCTCTACGCACAATCATTTGGCGAATTATAATTCGTCGGATCTTAGAAGGCACAATGAACCTTACTGGTCCGTCCATCGTTAAATTGTCAATGGAGACCAGCCATCAAAACTGCAACTCTCTTTAAAAATTTCGTGGTCTGTAGCATCAGGTTATTGGCTGTCGATTCACGATCCCAGGCATTAAAATGTCAAGGAAAGACCTAACAGATCTGGAAACACGGTGCAATACGCGCCAAAATGATATAGAGTCCAAGAATAGTTTTATGACGCCGATACAAATACAATGTCGACCGTCTTGTGGCAGATACGGCAGCTATAGTGACAGACATTTATGCTAGACTTGAGACTTTGAAAGATTGTGATGTCATCCTGCTCAAACTCTAGATTTAAGATGCAAATCTTTTCATTGACGTAATTTGATTGAAGTTGGCCACCGACCAGCGAAATATTGGAAACATTAAGAACGACGCACTTCTTCAGAATTCCTTGATAACTAAATTTTTAGAAAGCAGAGGCGCTTTTGGTGTAAACATGAAGCTGCTGTAGCTTTGGTGCAAGACGCATATCGCTTAAGTTAGGAGTAACGATGTTGTTGCGTGCCTTCACCAAAAATCGGGAGTAAAAAGCCTCATTATATCGCGGTCACAAGAAGCATTTCATTAATAAGACGTGCGGGCATAGCTATAAGTTGTTATTTAGCTATTGTGGAGTGTTAGAGCGACTTTTTCACGGGCGATGATCCCGGTGACTGTGAGAAACATGTAGAATACCAAGTCCTATATATATTAGGATGGTCTACCCATGTCATGATGATAACGTAATCGCTTTCTGCGACGCGTGCGGAGTAGTTAAGATATACAGGTTAGTGGCAAGTAAGGTTATTTACTCATGAGTAAACTGAACACGGCTCCATCTTCTTACTATCAAGCGTTGTATCCGAAAGAATTTTGCCAAGGGCTGCAAGCTTCCGGGCGATAAGGTCGGCAATGGACGTAGCGCTGAACTTCTTTGATGTCCGTGATTGACGACAACATCTGAGAACTGAATCCGAATATTGAGACTACTCTATTTTCGCGAAGGAATTACCAAACCTTTTTATCTTTTGTCGGAAGATTGTCATGGCGTGATTAAACAGTGTCTACCACGCCTGTAAGCTCATGATGAAAAATACCTTATTGAATTTACTTAGCATCTATGGCCAAATGGTGCGCACACTGAAACTGCCTTACGAAGGGAGCGGTATGAAGTCAAAACACTAAGTTACGTTTGATTTTTAGAAAGCGCTTGGTGAGAGAACAATATTCTCACCAGTACAGATTTTTTGCGGCCGAAAGGATTAATCGGGCATGCTAATAATGAGCTTAGCACCGCCACTATATTGGCGCAGAAGATGATATGACATCATGTATGGGCCGCGGAACACCCTGTTTGGTTGTATTTCGCCCTAGTTCTGACCTACCAAGTGAAAATTAAAAGCGGTTAGTGCGACCTCACGCTGTCGTGAGTTATCTGGGCAAAATTCTTACGAGCGGTCGTCTTGACTACAGGGACTGCCAAAAGTACCACCAACGTTTGATTATCTGGAGACGGAGGTTTTCAATTACAGTGCGACACGCACAAGCGTTTTTTTACATTACATTCAACATTAGCCGTACAAAGCACGGGGTCTGTGTGGATAATTGCATTAAACATTTGCGAGACGTTAACGCGCTTCAATTAAAAGTCTTTGAATGTAGACAAGCTGTTTCTTTGGGGTCGTTGATTTTTTGATCAGAACTTCTTTATCGTGAATCTTGGCCGGCGGGTTCCACATAATATGGAGGTACTAACAGTTTGGCTCGGATTTTATTAATGATTCTGCTTAGAACTATTTCTTATACAACAAACATCACAGGGCATCGCGGGTCGGGTAGTGATTTTAACCTGGGGCTGAAGAGACTTATGGAAGAGATTGGTCTGACCAACTGCTTGTACAAGTATAATATCAATCATTTCAGAAGGTGTAACCCCAGTCTTCCTGAAAAGAATGTCGGATGTTGCTGGGATGTCAAAAGGTGAGGCCTTCAAAGCTTACTTTTTTACATCATATCAGCTGCTGCCTTTTGCTTGTAATGTTCTGCTCTTAGCGTAGACTATGCTATACCTCAAGCAGATGCCGATTGGAGATAGTGTGGCTTTGTATTTAGGATTCGCTCGCTCAGAACCACAGAATCAGTTTTCTGATGCACGACAAAGAGACACTTACAAAAAGTATGATCTTTTCAAGTTTAAAATGAACATACTTGGCTCACAACTGTTGATAATCTATTTACATGATGAAATGTTGCGCACAGCGTACATATGACACAGGAAACGGCAAAATTGTGATATTAACTGGCAGAGCTTACATTCGAGGCAAACCATAAGCCGTGTCGATGCTGGATGAGCTTTTTCGCCGCTTTTAAAGTTGAGCTATCGAATATTACACGGATGAGCTCTCGTATTGAAAAGGCAATATGTACATTGTACCCATTAATTACAACTTGTATTAAGTTGCGAACTGTTTGAAAAAGCAATATGCTTAATTTATCAATAACACTCGACTAAAACGTTCCAATGCACATTGGCATCGTTATGAAACACAAGCCTGGTTGTATCATATTGCTGACCCACTTGACAATATTCGTAGAATGATACCTTACAACTAGAACATCATTTACCAAAGGCTGTACGGTGCACATTTCAGGGCAGCTTGCAAAAATGTCATATGGCTAGGCAAGCGTTATGTTCGGATACCCCATCATATATGAGTGGAAAAGTAGTTCCGCGGGCGAGTGTGAAATGTGTCAGCATGTTAGACCCTCGACGTGCGCGTTGTCACCAACGGTCTGTCTCCCGGAAAAAATTGGCTGTCCATCAGATTGAGATATTCTCCTAGCCATTTTAAAGATGCAATTGATAATGGCGGTGTTGTAACGTTTGTGTGGGTCGTCTGGGTAAGATTCTAACTTACGGAAGCCAGCGACATTTTGATCGAGGCAAAATGCCACCTGTCAAAGTACTACGCCAGCAAGGCGTGCCAATGGTAATTGTACTGGAACGAGATCCGTACATTTTATATCAAGCTTTACTAAACAATGTTCAGATTGCTAATACTAAATTGATCATGTCCACCGCTGACCAACTACTGACAGATGACCAGACAAATCACGAATATAGCAATGTTGAAGCATGTTTCCCACTTTTCAAATTTGCATAAAGCGAATTTCATTACAGAAAGTTCCCCATTGACCAAATTTTGTTACCCTTGTCTTCCATTGTAATCGTCACACAGGAATTCTAGTGTCGGTGAGGCAGAGGCTGTCGGTGCAATTTGACTCTATGGATTCAGTTCGGCTACATTTTGCAGCAAAAAGTCAGTTACATTTCTATGATATTTAGCGTCATGCATTTAGTGGGCGACGCTTTGGTTGGAGTCAAGATGTCTTAAAACAGTATGCCGATTATAGAGGTATACATCACATTTGGCTGTGGAAAGTTTAAACAAGCGCTGTCAGTCTACTAACTTATGCAATGTATATGGTGTACCAGACAATCGTGCAACCCCGCTACATGTGATCGCTCAGTGTTGTATCAAAAGATGGTATTGAATCATAGTTTTTATCAATCACTTGAAAAGCAAATTACCACTTTATGCTACACACATATTGGCTAAAACAATTTTACAATTTTGCTCCAACAAACCTGTCAAATTCGAAGCGGCACAAAAATTGACAGAAGTTTGGTGTGAGTTGGCAAGCTTGAGGAACGCGGAATAAATTTTTAGTTCTCGCATCCGTTATGTGTCATTAAAAGCCAGAAGCGATTATCAAATTTTTAAACGGCGGGAATGATAGCACTGTTCAAAACGAAGTGGTTGACGACCAGATTTTAATGAACCTATGAAATTTTTTAGCAATTACATTTGCAGGCGACAACATATACAATGTTGAGTGTACACCAAAAGTCAGCGATTGATACTTTACAAGCGTTTTGCAAAACCAGGTCAAAGCTATTGCAGTATCTTTATTATTCATACACATAATTTGTTTTGGTGCTTCAGCCTGAAATAAGGCAAACTAGGCGGAGACATCAGCCGATGTTGATGTTAAGAAGCAGCTTGGATGCTGAAGAGGCAACAACAAAATTCGGTGACCAACTGACACCAAGACATGCTAGGATTAATAAAGTCGGACTCATCACTGATGTTGTTCTTGTGTACACGGTATGAAGCGAGGATGATACTAACTTGCGGACTATATATGCTCAAGCAATAGCAGCGACGATGCAGTGAAGTGGCGTGAAGATGATGAATTTGAGTCAGAGCTTAATATGGATATCAAGTCAAGAGGGAGGAATAATTGAAAA